CACGGACGCGGGCGGGGCCCCACACGTTCATGTGAAGAGTCCGCAGTGGAGCCTCTGTCGGAGGAAACTCGGAAGAGTTAGGGGCGGCGCGCTACCGCCCCTTGACGCAGGGGACTCAGGTAGGGGCAGGCCTCGGAGGTAGGGGAGGTAGGGACCGGGGGAGACGAAAGACAAGGACACGTGATACCATGCCTCGGAGACGAGGCAAGGACGGGTGACCAAGGCGGTGGTGCCAAAGGAGAGTCTGGTAGGACACGAGACGCCACGAGCAGGGCGCAGACTCAAGACCAGACCTGGACGCTACAGCAAACACCTGACTTGACGCAGCCACCTGACCACACTCAGCAACCGGAGGAGACTCAGTAGTCAGTGTGTACACGTTCGACCCCGGCTGACGGGTAAACGTGGCCAAGTGTCGGCCCATCCGAGCACACGTGTAGTGGGTCACCCACTGACTCGCAGGAGTGAACTGGTCAACCCCCCTATCCTCTAGGTCAGCTCCACTCACCAAGTTCGTAGAGAACGAGGGGAGGTAGAGACCTGACAAGGTGCCAAAGGGGGCTGCCGGGCACGGTAAGACAGTGGAGAAGCTAGCAAGGACAGGACCCCCTGAGGGGTTCGCCAGGGAGACCGCAACCAGCCGACTAACTGGCGTAAGTGTGGTGCGGTCTTGAAAGAATGAGCGGGAAGCACCCGAGTCAAGGGTGAAGGTGTGTAAGGCCTGAGCCGACGTGGTACCTAAGAGAGCAGACTTACCAACACCTGAGGCAGCAGATGCACTAGCACCTAAAGCAGTAGCCTCACCAGCACCTAGAGCAGCAGCCTCAATGCCCGGGTCAGGCGGAACACACAGGTAACAGTCACCCTCATCACTAGTAGACACAGCATACATGGCAGCAAGAATAGCATCATAATCAAGATCAAAGATAGCAACCCCCGCCCTAGACAGCTCTCCTCAGCGAGGGATCTCAGTGGTGTCAGGGAACTGGTGACGCCACGCGTCCGTCAGGCGGCCGAAGCAGCGCTGGTTGGAGTGCGGGCCCCCGCACTGCTCACCAGCGCGGTCGCCGGTACGGAGGACGTAGGTGCAGGGACCACTACCCCCACCGCGCTGACGCCCAGCGTACCACTCACGAAGCTGCTTGGGGGACGGGGTCTCACGACTGCCCTGCTGCTGCTGGCGCGGACCACCACCGGACCCACTCCTCTGCGCAGAGCCGCGACCAGCTCCACCGCAGCCTCCGCCGCCTCCGCCACCTCCGCCGCCTCCGCCACCTCCGCCGTCTCCGCTCCCTCCGCCACCGCCGCCACCACTCCCACCACCACCCCCATCCCCTCCACTGCCTCCACCACCACCTCCACCGCCCCCGCCAGCCCTTCTAACGCCCTTGCCCCCCTTGCCCTTGCCGGTGCGGCGTCTCTTGCTAGGGGCAGACGCAGCGCCGATCGACTCGAAACCAACGAGGTCGGCCGTAGCAGCAGAAGCAACAGAGGGCAAGAGGGGGGAGGGGGAACACCCCTCAAAGACGGGGGTGCGAGGGTCACCATGAGAGGCTCCTACAGCGACTATGCTCTTCTCTGCTGCTAGGAGGCTCTCCTCGAGGAGGTCAACAGTGAGTGTGGTGGGGCAAACTGAGAGGAAGTGGTCCCTGACTAAGCGAAGGGAGTCAGGGAGCTGGGTGACTATATAGTAGAGGGTGATGTACATGGGGGGGGGTTCTTGGCACAGAACTCAGCGGGAAGGGCAGCGCGGTAGCGAGTGTCGCTAGTGCGAAGGTGCGTAATGAGGTCAGCGACTGTGGGAAAGGTAGCAAGGTCAGGGAACAGGTACGGCAGCATGAGGCGGCTAAGCCCAGCAGTGGCAGGGGAAGAGTAGCGTGCAACTTCAGCGTCGTATAAGGTCTTAGCACTCTTGTACTGGCTAAAGTGCGCACCCTCAGTTGTCGGTATGTGGCGACGCATAGCAAGACGTGCAGCGGCATCGCGTGTGGCCCATTGTGAGCGAACAGTGCTTTCAGCAGTAGCAGGCGGGGCAGGAGAGGCACCAGAGGTGAGAACGAAGAGGGAGAGTCCGTCTGCCCTATCGCACTGTAGGAATAGCTGGAGGTCATCGACCCAGACCTCAAAGTCAACAGCACGACCCTCAGCGTCAAAGTTAAGGACATTGGGGGTAGCCATGACTGGAGTGGCCTAGCAGGGAGTGATCTCACCAGTCTGAGAAAGTAGGGCCGGGGCGCGCCGATAGGAACAGTAGCGGCTCGACGGCAGGGCAGCTCGGCGGCTCGGCTGCTGGGTGGCTTGGCGGCTTGGTTGCTGGGCGGCTCGGCGGCTCAACGGCTTGGCTGTTGGGCGGCTCGGCTGCTAGGCGGCTCGGCGGCTCCGTTGCTGGGCGGCTCGGCGGCTCAGCTGCTGGGCGGCTCGGCGGCTCGGCTGTTGAGCGGCTCGGCTGCTCGGCGGCTCGGTGGCTTGGTTGCTCGGTTGCTAAGCTGCTGGGCGGCTCAGCGGCGAAGGGGCCGGTAGAGGCGGCGACGGGGCCGGTAGAGGCGGTAATGGGGCCGCAAAGAGCGGCGACGGGGCCGCTAGGGGCGGCAACGGGGCCGCTAAGGGCGGCGAGGTGGCCGCGAAGGGTGGCGACGGGGCCTCCAGGGGCGGCAACGGGGCCGGTAGGGGTGGGGACGGGGCCGCAGAGGGGCCACAAAGGGCCTGGAGGGGCGGCGACGAGGCCGCGAAGGGGCCGTAAGGGGCCTAGAGGGGGGGGGCGACGGGGCTGCAAGGGGCGGCGACGGGGCCGCGAAGGGGCCGCGAGGGGCCTAGAGGGGCGGCGACGTGGCCTAGATCGGCGGCGACGGGGCCGCGAAGGGGCCGCGAGGGGCCTAGAGGGGCGGCCACGGGGCCACTAGGGGCGGCGACGGGGCCGCGACGGGGCCGCGAGGGGCCTAGAGGGGCGGCGACGGGGCCTAGAGCGGCGGCGACGGGGCCATGAAGGGGCCGCAAGGGGCCTAGAGGGGCGGCGACGGGGCCGCTAAGGGTGGCGCAAGGGGCCTCTAGGAGCGCGCGACGTGAGGGCGGCCTACGGGGCGCGCCTCGGGCAGAAAAATAAGATCGAGTTAGGTGGTGGGCCTTGAGAAGCGTTCCCACGAGGGAACCTACTCTATACCATGTGAAGAATGAGGAATGAATGAACTAGCAAGCAGGTGGGTACAAGTAAGAGAACCTAAAAGAGTTGTACCCCATATTGTTTACCCCACTACAGCCTACACAGAGTATAGCATATGAGTTTGACAGCGCGGCGCCATGGACCTAAAAATGCACACATGGTGGGTGGTGATAGTAAATAGTAGTGGTAGTACTTATTCTATCGTCTGCAAAATGCTCGATATGGATGTTTGCTTCCTGATTTTCCATTCTGCCTCCATTTTCCCATAGGGAGCGGATGGTTTATATCCACCTCGGAGCCAAGACGTTCGACTCGAGTGTCGCCTGGTTACGTGTGTGAAATCGAGCCAAATGTAACCCCTCGATTTCATAGTATTCAAAGGTAGGAAGGTTGGTTGGACCTGGTGACCCAACCAAAGGTAAAAAGGATAAGGCAACTATGGGGAACTTGAGTCTCGTCACGAAAAAATATTCATGCCTGTTTGCTTCCTGATTCTCCAATCTGCCCTTCAAATTCCGTGTTCTACACGGAGCGGAGGGTTTATATCGACCTCGGAGCCAAGACGTTCGACTCGAGTGTCGCTTGGTTTCTCCAGATGTACCCCCTCGAATTTAAAACCGAGATCCACGCGGTGGAAGTAAATCCGGGCGTGTTCCAAATGCCAAATGCATAAGTGTGAAAGGTGTGTGATATACATATATGAACGGAAATAAACAAATAATGGAGTCAGAAAGGCACGTGAACAGCAAACGAGGGCTGGGAGAGGCGCTTGACGAGGGGTTAGGTAAGCGCAACCTTGGAGAAAGTGGCTAGAGGGGGTGAGGGAAGAGGAGGAGGAAGTAAGATCAACCTATGGGGAACACATGCGTAGGTTGTAAGCTTCTTTTTTTACAGATAAAGCGGCCAGCATAGGTTCTGCCAGAGTATCTTTGTTGTATTTCTTTGTGACGCTTAACGCGGAGATAAAGACGTGCAATCTTTCAAGACATGCCCACGTATTCATCTCCACGTACGCATCCCCTCCCCACGCGTCGATCGTTTCCTTTAGCCCAGCCCTCTTACCCCATACCCGCCCCCCACTTTGTGCCATGGTAGCGAGGTGACTTTTGAGTCGACTCAAAAGTCACCTCTTTAGCCCAGCCCTCTTACCCCATACCCGCCCCCCACTTTGTTCAATCCCCTTTCCCCAGTTTCACCTCTCTTGCCTTGTTAAATACATATAATCCTCCAAACATTTCAAGAAAATTGCGGGTTAACGAATCCGATAAAGTACGTGAAAACCCCTCTACAACCCCTTTCACCCCCTCAAAACCCTTCTTCACCGCTCTGAACTGCTCCAGGTACTGGCAACTGATATGGGTCAGGATTCACGCCTGCGTCCGAGACGCGAAGGCCCAGCAGACTTCCCAAAGTGGCTGCTGCAACGCGTTCATCCCTACAACTTCTACGTCTCTTCCCAAGACAACCACGAGAGGGTAAGAAGACGACAAAAAAGGGAATCTCATTTGAGAGTTCTCAGAGTGATTTCAGAATTCCCAAAATGGCTGCTGCAACGCGTTCATCCCTGGAACTTCTTTGTGTCTTCCAAAAACAGCCACGAGAAGGCAAATACATTTCAATAAAAAGGCTAAGGAGTGTTTAGAATCATGCCGAACCAGGGCCTTTCTGCTTTGTTCTGTTGGCGTCGAGTCCCCCCGTTGCTGGTTTTTTGCTCTTTTCCCCCTTTTCCTGCTCGGTTCACCCCTCTCTCTCCTCTTTCCCCCCTTTCATGCTCTGTTCCTCTCCATTTCTGCTCTCTCTGCCCATTCATGGGGGTGTTGGTTGGATGAAGGTGTAGACACAAATGCTGCTGTTCCCCTCTGCCCTGCTGTTCCCCTCTGCCCTGTTGTTCCCCCTCTGCCCTGCTCTTCCCCTCTGCCCTGCTGTTCCCCTCTGCCCTGCTGTTCCCCTCTGCCCTGCTGTTCCCCTCTGCCCTGCTGTTCCCTCTGCCCTACAGTTCCCCTCTGCCCTGCTATTCCCCTCTGCCCTGCTGTTCCCTCTGCCTTGCTGTTCCCCTTTGCCCTGCTGTTCCCCTCTGCCCTGCTGTTCCCTCTACCCTGCTGTTCCCCTCTGCCCTGCTGTTCCCTCTGCCCTGCTGTTCCTCTCTGCCCTGCTGTTCCCCTCTGCCCTGCTGTTCCCTCTGCCCTGCTGTTCCCCTCTGCCCTGCTGTTCCCCTCTGCCGTGCTGTTCCCTCTGCCCTGCTGTTCCCCTCTGCCCTGCTGTTCCCCTTTGCCCTGCTGTTCCCTCTGCACTGCTGTTCCCTCTGCCCTTCTGTTCCCTCTGCCCTGCTGTTCCCCTCTGCCCTGCTATTCCCCTCTGCCCTGCTGTTCCCTCTGCACTGCTGTTCCCTCTGCCCTTCTGTTCCCTCTGCCCTGCTGTTCCCCTCTGCCCTGCTGTTTCCTCTGCCCTGCTGTTCCCCTCTACCCTGCTGTTCCCTCTGCCCTGCTGTTCCCTCTGCCCTGCTGTTCCCCTCTGCCCTGCTGTTCCCCTCTGCCCTGCTGTTCCCTTTGCCCTGCTGTTCCCTCTGCCCTGCTGTTCCCTCTGCCCTGCTGTTCCCTCTGCCCTGCTGTTCCCTCTGCTGATTTTCGCCTCCTACCAGGTGGTATCCCTTCCCTCCTCCCACCTCCCTCCTCCCGTCTTACTCCTCCCATGTCCGTCCCTTTTCTCCCCTCTTCCCCCACTCCCGCCCAGAGCACGGTCAATGTAACGAGGTGGTTTCTGGACGACCTGAAGCTGAAGGAGGAGGACTCAGACTTACTTTTCCCTCTCTCCCCTCTTCTCACCCCCTCTCCCCCCATCCCCCCCTCCCGCCCTCTCCTACTCCCCTCTCCCTCCCAGAACATGGTGAATGTGACGAGGTGGTTTCTGGAGGACCTGTTGTCAAACTATATGCCTATGTCATAATAATGTGTAGGCTTTAGTGGGGTAGCTAATGTAGGGTATAGGTTTTGTTACTTGTACCCAACTTTCTCGATAGTCCAACCACCTTTTCCTTCCCTTACTCTCGACATGGCATTAAGAGCAAAATAGGTCCTTAGGACCGTTTTAGGACTGTTTTTCAGGCCCACCAACCGTTTTCCGCCGGTTACCACGTTACCCCGCCCCTTGCCTACATTGCCCTGAGTCGTGCAGCCCTCGCGCTCGCCTTTGCTGGCCCTCGTGCAGCCTGCTAGCAGCCCGCCTACTGCCTCGTCAGCCCCGCGCGTAGCTCGCTAGCTGCCTCGTCAGGCCCGCGCGCCGCCTGCAGCCCTCGCGCTGCCTTCTCCTGCCCCGCGCGTCGCTCCGCAGCCCTCGCGCTGCCTTCTACTGCCCCGCACGCCGCCTCTCAGCCCTCGCACTGCCTGTACTGACCCGCGAGTGCGCAGCAAGCCTGCTGCCTCGTCAGCCCCGTGCGACGCGCGCCCAGCCCGCCCGCTGCCTCGTCAGCCCCGCGCACTGCCCTCCCACTGCCTTAAGCAGCCCTCGTACTGCCCTCTCACTGCCTAAACAGCCCTCGTGCTGCCTTAACAGCCCTCCCACTGCCTTAACAGCCCTCGTGCTGCCTTAGTAGCCCTCGTGCTGCCTTAGTAGCCCTCGTACTGCCCAAGCAGCCCTCGTACTGCCCTTCCTCCGCCCTTGCTACTCCTTCCGTGTATCTTCAGCTTCGCGCACCGCCCCTACCGCTCTCTCGTAGCCCTTGAAGTCCGTGTGCTGCCCCTACTGTCGTGCTGCAGTGACCATGGCTTCGATTAGCGTACTGTAGTTCGACCCTGAAGGTCGAGTTCGATGCCTGGCTAGAAGATCTTCAGCTGTATCTTATGACTGATGCCAAGGACGGCGTTTCGCTCTTTGACTTAGCCAAAGGTTCCTCAGTCGCTCAAGACACAGCTTACAGTGTCGCTCACTCCCAGTGGCTTACCCGTGACGCTATTGCACGCCTAGCCATTCGCAACCACTTGCCTCTAGCCGAGCGCACCCACTTTGGCCAGCACAAAACCGCTAAAGCACTGTACGCTGCTGTCATCGCTCGCTACTCTTCTCCTGCCACTGCTGCCCTCAGCCGCCTTTTCCTACCCTACCTTTTTCCCGAGTTCTCCTCCTTTACCACAGCTGAGGACCTTATCACTCATCTCCGCGCTAGTGACGCTCGTTACCGTGCCGCCCTTCCGATGGAGTTATTAGACAAGAACCCTCCCCCTATGTACATCACGCTCTACTTCATTGTCACCCGACTCCCTTACTCTCTTCGTGTCGTTAGGGACCACTTTTTAGCCTTTCCTCCCACCAACCTCACAATCGCCGACCTCAAAAGAAGCACCTGCTTGCAGCTGAGTCCAACATTGTAGCTGTCGGTGCTGCTCGTGGCACTCCCCGCACTCCCCTCTTTGAGGGGTGTACCCCCTCCCCCCTTGTCCCCTCCCACGCCTCTGCTGCTACCGTTGACCTCCTCGGTGCTGAGGAGGTCGGTGCCGCTTCTACTTCTGCTGGGAAGCGCCGCAGCGACAAGGGCAAGGGAGGCAAGGGTGGCGGCACTGGCAGCGGGGGAGGTGGTGGTGGAGGAGGCGGCGGTGGGGGTGGTGGTGGTGGGGGTGGTGGCGGGGGTGGAGGAGTCGGTGGCAGCAGTGGCAGCAGCGGTGCGCGTGGTGGTGGTGGAGGAGGCGAGGGTGGGAGCGGTAGCAGTGGCGGCAGCAGCGGCGGTGGTGATGGTGGTGGGAGCGGTGGTACCAGCGGTGGTGGCGGCAGTGGTTGAGCTAGTCACCGGGGAGGTGCTGGCGGTGGCCAGCGCCAGCAGCAGCAGCGTCAGCCCGAGCCCCGCACGCCCCAGCAGCTTCGTGAGTGGTACGCTCAGCGTGGGGCGTCTGGGGGTAGTGGTCGCTGCCCTTACCGCATTCGCACTGGTGAACGCACTGGTCAGACGTGCAACAGGTTTCACACCAAGTACCGCTGCTTCTCTAGGCTGGACGACGCCTGGCGTGCCCTGTTTCCTGATGCTACTGAGCTTCCCTAAAGGGCAGACCTGCTTAGGCGTAATATTCCTATCTTTGATCTTGACTATGATGCTATTCTTGCTGCCATGTATGCATTGACTATAAGTGCGGAGGGTGATTGCTACTTGAGTATGCCGCTTGGCCCAGGTATAGAGAATGCAACCCTAGGTGCTCGTGCGTCTGCTCTCCCTGGTACTGCGTCCGCTCAGGCTTTGCACACTTTTACACTTGACTCTGGTGCTTCCCGCTGTTTCTTTCACGACAGTACCACAGTCACTTTCCTCCTTGCACCTGTCCCTGTCTCACTGGCTGACCCCTCTGGGGGCCCAGTGCTAGCACGGTCCTCTACTGTGCTTCTGTGTCCGGCGGTCCTGTCTGGTGAGCTGTCTGGTCTCCACCTCCCCTTGTTCTCTACGAATCTGGTGAGCAATGCCGTCCTTCAGGATCATTGGGTTTATAACTTTACTCCTGGAGGACAGCGTGTGGCGATCTGCACGTGCTCTCGGACTGGCCGCCACCTGGCCACGTTCATACGTGCGCCTGGGTCCAGTCCGTACACCCTTACCACTGCGTCGCGCTACACCCCTTTGTCTCCTCAGCTGTACGCGTCCGCTCAGGTAGCTACCCAGTGTGAGTGTCGCCGCCTGCCGCACCAGACTCTCCTTTGGCACCACCGCCTTGGTCACCCCTCCCTGCCCAACCTTCGTGGCATGCACTCTCGCTACCTGGTCTCTGGTCTTCCGAGGTCTCTGCCCTCCCTCCCTCCCTCGCCTGCGCCACCCTGCATTCCTTGCGTCAAGGGGCGGCAGCGCGCCGCTCCTCACTCCTCCTCGTTCCCTCCCACAGAGGTTCCCCTGCAGACTCTCCACCTGGACGTGTGGGGCCCAGCCCGCGTCCAGGGGCAGGGCCGCGAGCGGTACTTCCTGCTGGTAGTCGACGACTACACGCGTTACACCACGGTCTTCCCCTTGCAACGCAAGGGGGACGTCCCTGCTGTTTTGATCCCCTGGATCCGCGCTGTTTGTCTCCAGCTCTGCGAGCGGTTCCACTCGGACTTTCCTGTCCTGCGTCTGCACTCCGACAGAGGTGGTGAGTTCACCTCCGACCTCTTGCGAGCCTACTGTGAGGAGCACGGCGTCCGCCAGACGTTCACGCTTGTGGCCTCTCCGCAGCAAAATAGGGTTGCTGAGCGCCGCATTGGCTTAGTCATGGAGGTCGCTTGTACCTCCATGATCCATGCGGCTGCCCCCCATATTCTTTGGCCGTTTGCGGTCCGGTACGCCGCGCATCAGCTCAACCTCTAGCCCCGTGTCTCCGTGCCGTAGACTTCGCCCACACTACGTTGGACGGGGGAGGTTGGCGATGCGTCGCGATTCCGGGTCTGGGGTGCTCGTGCCTTTGTACGCGATACCACTGCGGACAAGCTCTCCCCTTGTGTCATTCCTTGCGTCTTCCTTGGCTTTGTCCTTGACGCGCCTGGCTAGCTGTTTTACGACCCCGCCTTGCGCCGTGTCTTTGCGTCTCAGGGCGTAACTTTTGACGAAACGGTCCCTTTTTACCGTCTCTTTCCCTACCGCACTGCCCCTCTCCATCCCTCGCCGCTCTTTCTTGCTCAAGGTCCTCCCCAGGTAGATGCGGAGATAACTGCAGCAACGGGAGCTAGGCTACGGGCTAGGCACGTGTGCTCGTGTGATCTCTGCGTTCTCTGTTCCTTAGTCGTTTTCCTTGTGCACACACTACTTGCTAGTTCACGGGGAAAATTGGCAAGAGTTTCACTAGGAAAAGTTCAGAACAATGGTACAATGAAGTTGGCAATGCAAGACTACATCAGGGCTAGCATTCAGGTCGGCCAACTGCCAGCGCAGCTTGGTCGACCGCGTTCCAGCACGGCTTGGTCGACCGAACTCCAGCAAGGCAAGGTCGACGGCGTGCCAGCGTTGCTCACGCAGGACAGCAGTGCACCCGCTTCGCAGGTGTGCGTAGCCGATTGGCGTGCAGAGTCCCGTCACCTGCACAGCGCACACTCCACGTCAACCTTGAGCTGACGACTGCCTCTGGCCCGCCACGACGACCTCGGGATACCACCACTGAGGTCGTGCTCGCCAACTTCGCCTGGGCGACCGTCGCACTCCTTCGCAACACTTCGTCACCCAGGTAACCTGGTCGACCAGGCTACCACGTCGACCAGCAGCTCCCGTACGTGCCCATCGACCTCCCAAGTCGACGACCACCTCCACGTCGACCTCACTAGGTCGATGACACCATCGGTCGACCTCCTCCAGGTCGACATCCCCTCTGGTCGACCAGCTCCACGTCGACCAGCACTCCTGGTCGACCTGCTCCTCGTCGACCAGCACAGTCGTCGGCCGACCACCCACGTCGGCCACCCAAAGCTGGCGTCACAAAGTTGACGCCCAGCTACTCGATGCCCAACTGCTCGGCGTCCTGAGTCGAGGTCGACGTCGGCCCCTCCTTCGTCGACCACCAGGTCCAGTCGACCACTAACATGTCGACTAGCAGTCCGTTAGCCGATTGCCGAAGTCGGCTTCAACGTCCTCTGCAGGTCGACTCCCAAGTCGGCGCCACCCTAAAGTTGGCGCCCGTGCAGTGATCCCCCGTGCAGGTCGACCTCCTCGTCGACCAGCTCACCCACTGCTGCAGGTCGGCTGCTCCCCTCACACCCGACCATACAGTCGGCTCCGCCCAAGCAAGGACGGGGCCAACACCCAACTCCCGTTGACACTCCCCTGCCGCGTTCACGCTTGGGCACCCAGCCCACACGGCAGTACAGCTTGGAGACTAGCTCGTCGACGTGCGCCCAGCACATAGCACGTCGTCCACCGCACCAGCCATGCAAGAGGGCATGGCACCTACTGCTGCACGTCGTTGCCGCCGTCGCCCACGTCGGCCAAGCGCACTTGGCCGATTGCGACGGAG